CACGAATGGGTAGCCTCGAACAGGGTAGGACTACACTCTCACAGAAACCAGAGTAAATAGCATTTCAGAAGTAAGTTAAGTAACTTTGGGTCAATATTCCTGTGTAAAAAAGGTAATTTTTGAATATGCAACTAATTAAAATTAGGAAACTACCTAAGTGAAATATTGAACAATTTTATTCTTACTTTTCGGCATATCTTGTCGAGATCTATGCGAATCCGCCTTCAAATCGTGGCGCCGTAGGAACTGTATAAGCCCCATCGTCGAGGTTACCAGAGCTACTTCCTGTGGACACGCTTCTGGAAGAAAGAGGTACTCATGAAGAGTCCCTCCCTCTCCATATAATCGGCCAGCTGTTGACTCCTTGAGTTACGTTACCCTTCTGAATTTCCCTACCTTCAACTAAAATTCTCTCTTTTGTCTAGTTTTGTGTAAAAGTCTACCATTAACAATGCATAGTGCGTTTTGGTAATAATTGTCTTTGCATCGTTAGTCCAGTCTGTTTTCAAAAGTATTTACAGAGGGAGCATCAACTTGTCTTGAATCAAATTGTGCCATAAGTTTATGACTGTTCTTTAATGTGTTATGTCCCACATTAGTGTTTGATACAATCTCATATAGTATGGATATTCAGCTCAGTGGATACAGCTGCTGTTAAAAATATGTGACAATTGTCTGCAATTATATATGTCAGTCAAAATTTTGTAGGTCTTAATAATGTTTTCTTTGGTTGAACGGGATTTTGGCATAGTTTGATTTAATATTTTTAATCTCTCTTTGTGTTTCTTTTTGGTAAGGCAGAAGGGAATTAATCTATGGAGCGTATTTGGCTTACTCTTTGCTAAAATAACAAGCGGAGTGCGTCTGAAATGAGAAGATTTAACAAAGATGTACTTTTAAGTAGTAAATGTACAAATCTGACTTCTAAGGTGTCTAAATAGGTCTAAATTTAGTCATCCTCAATCAATGACTGTTTAGCAGTCTCAACTTCAGAGACAAGTTTGTTCCACTGTGTTTGCTCTCCAACAAAATATTCCTGTAGAATATTGACATGGTCAATGCATAAGATAATTAGGATATCACCAGTGCTGTTGTCTATAATTAATGTTACTGGCATGCAATAAATTGTTTTAGACTTTATTTCGATATAAGTCTTAGTGTTAAATTATTTAATACTAAGAATAAATATATTTTCATTTCTGCCTTCATAATGTTATGTTAAATTAGCAGAGTAAAACACAAATAATCCTAAAGTAAAGATATGAATCCTAAAGAAAAATATGTACATAATAATATTAAAAAAAATATTATCTTTTATGTTAGGTTACTTTTAATAATAGTAACAGTGCAGAAATATAATTGTTTGCATTAGAATAAACACTAAACATCATTATTATTTTTAAGAAAAATTACATTTAGCTATCAATTAAACTACTTAATGATAATAATTTGTTAGCAATACAAAAACATTATGCTATATTTATAATTTGTTTATAATAATGAAACAGTTATAAATATGGCTTAATAATAATTAATAAATGCTTATTGTTTTAAATGTATTGTGACTACTGCAGCCCAAGAATACCTTGCAAACAACTTCAATCAAAGTATGTTGTCACTCCTTAAGACTTAGAATGTATAACAGTTTGTAAATTTTTCTGGCTCTCTTACACTTCAAACTGAAACACAACAGTAGATGCACTTCTTTGTGATAGAAGTAGGTAAAAGATTGCTATCTATCCAGATGAACTTAAATATTAACTTTTTAATAATTATAAATAACTAAAAAGAATACATTAAAACTCGCTTAAGACGATTTTGAAGGGACCCAGCCAAAATCGCGACTTAAGCGGGGAAGTGTATTAGGCGGGATAGGAAAAATAAAACATATCATTTACAAATTTAGGGTGCAACATTGTCATCAATTGAAGAATATCCAGGAAAACCCTGCAATATCACAAGTTCTTCTTCCAACACGATGTCAGCTTCGTTATTTCGGAAACAATTTTGTATGGTTTCAGGCTTAATTGCTTGCCATGCCGCTACAATGTTTAGGATCGCATCATGCACAGTCACAGGTGATTTGTTATCAGGGTCTTCCATTTCATTAAGATAGCGATGTATCAAATGAATTCTGTAGCCTTGTTTAAGGACTTTTATAATGCCCTGATCTGATGTAAGAAAACAAGTTCTTTACCTCAATATCTTTAAGGTGAACTTAGCTAACTAAAGTGAGTGGGATACATGCGGGGGAGGGATCAGCAAGGCGGTAAGAGAGCACGCTCGGCAACTCAACTTGGCTCGGGTGTTGCACAGATGGCGTATTAGACGGATGTCGAATCGTATTAAGCGTGTTAAAAAAGTATGAAAACATGCCTCAAGTTGCAGGGACTTATATAAAATGGCGTATTATGCCAGAAATCGTATTAAACGTGATGGAATTAAGCGAGTTTTACTGTATATTCTTAAGTTGATGCTAAGACAAGTGTATAGAAGAATTAAAAGCTCTTGCTTCAGAATGTGGATTTATTCCGAATTTGGCCTCTGGCGACGGCTTCGCCGATAAACGGTAGACCAATTTCCATAGCAATTTGCATAAATCATGGGATCTATAGGAATCTACCTACAACATTCTTGGAATTGCTAAGAAGCTTGGCGTTCGTACAGTTATTAATTCTTTATGGGCTAAGCCTACAACTTCGAATTTCGTTTGCACCGAACTTAGCCCCTTTTTCATATTTAGGTTTTTGGTGCAATATTATCATAAATTTTTGAAAAAAGTTTTATTACTTTATTAATCGAATAAAAGCACTTCTTGTGTTTACTTTCACTGTTTTTTTTTATCAAACTAAGAACTAAGAATAAAATGTCGACTTTATTGGTGTTTCAAGGTTATAGGTTAGTTTCAAGTACTGCACTTGGAAGTAACTGCAAAACTAATAACTTTGTAAGCAAATATCAATAATTTCTAGTTACAGATTTTTCCTTTGTATCATCATCTATCATCACCCTTACAGCTCTTCACAAGTCCCCTGCTGAACATAGGCCTCCCCCTAGGAATGCCACCTGCATTAACATTAACTTTACGCATGTTTTACCATGTCGTCACTCCATCTAGTGGGGGGACGCCCTACACTTCGTCCGCCGGTACGAGGACGTCACTCGAGAACCTTTTCCTCCCAGCGGTTGTCGGTTCTTCGAGTTATATGGCCAGCCCATTGCCACTTCAGCTTACTAATCCATTGGGCTATGTCGGTCACTCTGGTTCTACTGCGGATATCCTCATTTCTAAGTTTATCACGCAGAGAAACCCCGAGCATAGCCCTCTCCATAGCTCGCTGAGCGACCTTGAGCTTCCTCATACGGCCAGCAGTGAAGGACCACGTCTCAGTTCCATAGGTCATCACTGGCAACACGCACTGGTTGAACAATCTAGTTTTGAGGTATGTCTAACGAGAAGATGTGTCGTAATCTCCCGAATGCTACCTAGCCTAGTTTTTTTTTTTATAGAATTAGGATGACAAACGAGCACACAGTCCACCTGATGGTAAGTGGTTGCTGTGGCCCATAGACATCTGCATCTATCTTCGTTTGCGAATTAAAATGCAGATGCGTTGTCAGCCGTGAGGACTAAGATAGAATGCCTCTTTTCCAGAAAAAAGGGTCTCCGGTTCTCTACACTCACCATTCGAAACACAGCAGCATTAAGCTGCTATTTTACGCTGGTATTCTGTGAGAGCGTGGTTCTTCCCTGGTCGAGCCGACCCATTCGTGCTACAACTATACTATTAATTTAACTGCAGCATGGCTCTACCACGTGTAAAATTGAATCCGACGATTGACCTCTCGGTCGAAGTTGGACTTACCTAGTCGGACTATTTGTCCCAGGTAAACATACCCGTCAACAACTTCGGGCTTAGTGCTCCCAACAACTACCGGCATAGGTGTGACATGGACGTTAAACATGATTTTTGTTTTGTCCATGTTCATCTTAAGACCTATCCATTGGGAGGCACTATTGAGGTCATTGAGCATAGTGCTTAGGTCCTCCAACGATTCTGCCATAAGGACTATATCGTCGGCAAATCGAAGGTGAGTGATGTACTCGTCGTTAATGTTAATACCATATCCTTTCCAGTCCAGAAGCTTGAAAACGTCTTCCAATGCAGCAGTGAAGAGTTTAGAGGATATAATGTCACCCTGTTTTATACCTCTCTGTAAAACAAGGTGACGTTATATTTTTCATACTCTGGTTCTGTACTCGGATAGCCATCGTAGAACTACTGTACAAACATTTCAACACTTCGATATATTTGTCAACTTGGCACCGCTGAAGGGACTGTAGCACCGCCCAAATTTCGTTGGAATCAAAGGCTTTCTCATAGTCTAACAGCCATGTGATTAAGAGTGTGATCGAAGAGTTTTTGTGTTCTTTTACGGCGGGTCTTGTAAAACTTAGCTTCGACCGCATGGACAGTTTCCACAAACTCGTCATTCATATTGTCCGCTGCATTGCAATCTTCTAGGTCTAGGCAATCTGAAGTTATTTCATTCTTTTTAGCTGTTTGAAGTCGGCTTTTATTATTATAAAAAAAATTACCTTTATTAGTTGTAAGGAATATCACAATGTCAATGTAGTCTAAATAATTCCATTAAAAATTCGGTACCTATTTTGCCACCCATCGGGGTGGATTTTTTTATCCAAATTTATGTGAGACTACCCCTAAAGTATAACCTATTTAATAAAAAAAGTCATCAATATGAGTTTACAATTGATGACAATATCGCCTAACATACACACAAAAAACATACAATCGAATTGTATACCTCCTTTTTTTGAAATCGGTTAATAAGGTACTGCTTAGAGAATCTACCTTATGCTGAATAATAATAACTTTTGATTAACTTATTGATTATCTTGTTTGATTTCCAGATGTTCCTAATATTTAGAACAAATGTAACCAGTTGCGCACACCTACCTGTTCCTCATAACCCTCGCAATGGCGGAGGAGCAAGCGTGCCTTGTGCGCGCGCGGTCTGACTCTGAAAGCTCTTCTAAACTTGGCAGCTTTGGGTCCATATCACGCACAATGACTTACACGGAAGATAGACTTACAGGTAACTTTTTCTAAAAATTACAGAAGTATTTCTTTAATAATATACTTAAAAGATGCACGCCAGATCAAGTAGCAAAATAAACTCATTTAACACGTTCAGGGCGAAACAGGGCCTAAAACATCTTGTACATGTCTCGCCTGTGGTGCGCCAATAAAAAACATTAACTTCTCTGTCGTTCGGAAGGTGTAATTTTTATTGGATCAGTATAGGACAGATATAAATAAATATGAGATATGCTATTAATGCCGAGTTCTGTGGTATACTTACTTTAATACCGGGTTTTTGAACCTTGTGCCGCATTGATAAGTAAAATTTTAAATACAATACGGAACAAGGTTGGAAACACCTCGTATCCCTGAGTACCTCGTACGGCACTCTGCGTTAGCTTCACGTGAACAGTGTTGTGCATTGCATTCGAGACTGCGTACGCGACGACATGTCGAAACTTTGCCGTAAAAAGTTAGATTTAAAAGACAGTGATGAAGAAGATACGGGTGGTAAATGAGGATTCTGTATAAGTTCTCTGAGGCGGGTACTGTATATCGTCCCTGTAGAACCATATTTTTGCAATTTATTGTTCTACTCCAGCAACAGCTATTACTTACAAAAATTAGAATATAAACACACTTTTATCTCCTAGTAGTAGGTTGAGCAGAAAGAATTTTTCAACATATACGCTTGAAAAATACACACACAAACAGAACATATTCATTTGATCTTTTCAGAACTCACAACAAATAAAACACATCATCTCGAAAAGGGTTTTAAGTACAGGAGATGTGTCGGGTGTTATATTAAAATTCCGTACCTCCTTGCCAAGTCGTCAGGCTGACAAAAATGTAAAGAGAATTCCCACAGAATGCACTGGGTGCAAAAAATATTTGTTTTAATGAAAAACATCCATATGTTTGACAAAATAAACTTTACTTACAGGAAATATGCAAGTCATAACTTCTCCGTTATTAAGGACTTAAGTCTAAACATTAAGATATTTTAAGTATACATATCTTTTTTCTCTTCTAAGCCAAAGTTTCACTTGAGAAGTGGGTACTTCTTATCTTTTTTTAATAAATACAATTAAAATAAAGTTTACCGATATTTTTATTTCGCATCACTAAACTATATGAAAAACTGCCCTTATTCAGTGCGGTACGGGGCGTATAAGATCCCACATTTTATTTTACCTACAGATTCTAAACTAATTAATCAATTCTTTGTTAATAATAATAATAACAAAAATCCAAGTTTTTATTTTAGTTCACGCCAAAAAAATGATTTTAATCTCATAAGGGCGGCAGGGTTTAACAAGCCCAGTGCTGCCACAATGTCTGGTTTAGAAATTCAGGTTCAAAACGCCCCGAAGCGCAATAATGGAAAGTATAGATAAATCAGTGCCGCAGTGATCGTGTTAATCAATCTACCTTACACAGATATTACAATTTTACCCTCAAATTTATCAAAACATAAGAATACTTATACTTTATTACATTGTTTTTAACGTAGATAATTTTCAATAACATTGTATATATTAATAATAATAATAATAATCTAGGAGGATTTCATTTAATGTCTTTCATTTTGTTACAGGAACAGAAGGCGCTGGGGAGCCCGGAAATGTAGCTAACACAACAGTCAACCCACCAGAACAAATCCCAGATGGCAACGAAAGTGGAGAGCTGTTAGACTATAACGACTCTAGTGTACTAGAGCAGTTTCACGAAGATGCCCTGCGCCAGGTGATTATGATTATGAGCATAATTGCAATATAGTATATGAATTCATTTAATGTTATAATGGATCTGGATAAATAATCATATCCTGTAGGTGTTTTAAAATACAACTGAAAAAATAGTTAAAGTTTTACCATGCCATAAGTGGTGGTATATATAATTACCTATAACTATACACATAAAACTTTCATACATGGTAGAGCCATGCTGCAGCTATATTAGTAGTATAGTTGTAGCACGAATAGATCGGCTCGACCGGGGTAAGACCACGTAAAATAGCAGCTTAACACTGCTGTGTTTCATATGGTTAGTGTAGAGAACCGGAGACCCTTTTTACTGGAAAAGAAGCATTCCATCTTAGCCTAGTCCTCACGGGTGACAACACATCTGCATTTTGATTCGAAACGAGGGCCACAGCATCCACTTACCATCAGGTGGACTATGTGCTCGTTTGTCACCCTATCCTATAAAAAATACCTATAACTAATACTGGGTTACCTAATACCTGTAACATTTTGCCATTTTGTTTATTGGTTATATAAAGTTATGGGTTATTATTAAGTTGATGATTGGCTATTATTTATTTTCAGAAATGATTTCTTCTAGCATGAATGGTATTTTTTATTCATTCAGGGTTTGATTAAGATAATATTTTTTAAACTTGGTGATACTTTTTTCTATGTCTTACTAAGCCGCATTAGCTGAGACGCTGGCTCCTTTGGCTTATACTTTGCAGCTACATAATTGTATATCAAACGAAAAAGTTTGATATATCCTCCAACTATATTTCTGCATACTATGATAATTATTTTTACTTCTGCAGGCTGGCTGTGGTCTGTCTCAAGCCCGTGTGCTACTTGCTGTGACCCTCGCTATTGCAGGGTCGTCTCTAGAATTGTCCGCCATACCTTTCGTATTGCCGTCTGCAGAGATTGAGCTCTGTATATTGCCGCATGAGAAGAATTGGCTCGGTTTGTTTATAATTTATTTTCTAACTGTCATGATGCACTATTGTTTTAAATTTATTTTTATTATGAAAATATCATCATTACAGCCTATCAAAAATCTACAGCTGAACATGGACCTCCCTGATAGATTACCTCATAGAGATGAAATTTGTCATGGTTGCATTGTTTGACAGGCGCGTTAACCGCATTTTTATTATTTAGAGTTGTTATCAGGAAGATGTTTATGTGCACTACCAATTATGTAATTGTGTTCCTATTGCGTGTTAAATATAACGTTCAAATGTCTACTTAATATCACAATATTTATACAGAATACACACATATGTTATAGTCAAATTATATAGTTATGGCACAAGAAGAAACACAGTTACACACGAAAGATTACGACGAGAAAGATACCGAAAAGAAAGATAAAATATATTTAAACAGTTTAAAATTAACAAGTAAGCAGAGGGCTTGCAATCTGAATTGAGCGGCCGGCCAGTTGTACATAAAATAGGTAGAAGAATACATAGAAATTAAGCAGTACATAACACAAGTAAATAATGACGTACAGTTTCAAACAAGAAGCTTACACTCGTTACACTATAGTGTGGCGAGTCAATTGGTACTTAGAACGAACCATAAGATCACGCCACCGCTACGACATACATCGGGTGATGTCCTACATCACCGATTAGCAACGCCCGCTCATTAGGACGCATGTGTTCCCATTGGTCGCGGCGCTGACAGAGTTCAATGGCCGCCTGCGCATATATTGTGTTATCTATGAGTACTTACAGTGGTTTGTCTTGAATTATGCTCCAAGTAGTCGTACGACCTATTATTCTTATTCAAGACAAACCCCAAATGTAATTTTAATTAATATTAGTTATTTTTATTAAAAAAAATAAGAAGTGTAGGGCGTCCCGCACTAGATAGAGTGACGACCTGGTAAGACTACAAGATTTTAACGGTGGTTGGTAGAGTCACGCGGCAGCTTTTTCTGTTTCACGTATGAGCCGGCTCGAGCCGGGTTGGTGCTACGTCCTCACAGAATACTGGCGTAAAGTTGAAGCTCTGCTTCTGCGTTTCGTCTGGTGAGTGCAGGTGGCCGGAACCCCCCCCCCCCCCCACATCAACATGGTCGCGGATTTAAATGGAAGACTAACGACCAAGCTACTCCACTCCTGAGCGTGGGTGCTCAGGCTGCCTCGCGTATTCTGGGGGTGGGGGGCCCCGCTCAAAACAATAACTGCTCGGGCCAAACTGAGCAAGAAGACCAAGGCGACCCCTGCCACGCTATCCGTGAATTTCTGCGACATCAGGGGACTTCACTCGAACCTAAACGCCGTCCACTACCTTTAACAGTGGTAGAGTAGCCACGGGGCGGCTTTTGCTGTCGCATGGATGGGCCGACTCGAACCGGGGTGGTACCACGAACTCACAGAACACCAGCGTGAAGTAGAAGTATACTTGTGCATTTTGCCTGGTGAGTGCAGGAGGCCGGAGGCCCCCCCTTTAACATGGTAGCGCAGTTAAATAGAAGACTACCCCAGGAAGGTACCAGCACTACTGGTGACGAAGAATACCTCGCTGAGCATCCACGCCCAAGTTACCCTACTTTTTCTGAGCATAGGTGCTCAGGCTACCCGCGTATTCTGGGGGGGGGGGGGGAATCCCGCTCAAGATGAAACCTGCTCGGGGCAAGCGGAGCAAAAGACAAAGACAACCCCTGCCACGCTTTCCGTGAATTTCTGCAATATCAGGGGACTTCATTCAAACCTTAGCACCGTCCACTGCCATCTGGAGCCGGCCTTGCTCTTTCTAACCGAGACACAGGTGTCCTCTCCGACTGATACTTCGTATCTCTCCTACCCAGAGTACAAATTAGGACACTCCTTTGTGCCCCGGGCTGGAGTTTGCGTGTACGTCAGAGAGGACATCTGTTTTCGACGCCTTGGTAGTCTTGAAGGTACGGACCTGTCCATCCTATGGCTGCGCGTAGACAGCGACGACCATCCCCGCGTCTACGGGTGCCTCTATAGGTCCCATAGCGGTAATGCCGACACAGACCAACTCATCGACCACGTCCAAATGGCTGCAGACTCCGTGCTATAAGATGTCCCATCCGCAGAGATCGTGATACTCGGTGATTTTAACGCCCACCACGCTGAATGGCTTGGTTCTCGTTTAACCGATCATGCGGGTAGATCTGTCTATGACTTTGCTTTGGCATATGGTCTAACACAACTGGTTACTTCGCCTACGCGGATCCCAGATGAGGAAGACCATGTACCTTCCCTGTTGGACCTTCTGCTGACCTCTCATCCGGACGGATATCAGATCTCCGTCGATGCCCTCTTGGCTCTTCGGACCATTTGTCTGATCCGGAGTACGGTGCCACTCACACTCCCATCGCAGTTGCGATCTGCAGCTTGCCGCCGTGTTTGGCACTATAGGTCGACCGATTGGGACGGGATGCGTAGTCTCGAAATCATGGAAGACTGCTTTTGTCCACTCGATCCCTAAAAAAGGTGACTGCTTAGACCCGTCTAACTATAGGCCTATCGCCATCACCTTATTGTTCTCCAAAATAATGGAATCTATTATAAACTGCCAGTTCATGCGATACCTTGAGGATCACCAGCTGATTAGTGACCGCTAATACGGTTTTCGTCTGGCTCCATCAGCTGGTGATTTTCTGGTCTACCTGACTCATAGATGGGCAGAGGCAGTAAAGTCCAAGGGAGAGGCATTGGCGATTAGTTTCGATCGTTTTTGGCACAAAGCGTTTCTATCGAAGCTTCCTTCCTATGGGCTTCCCGAGAAACTGTGCAATTGGATCACCAGCTTTCTTGCAGATCGGATCATCAATATTGTCGTAGACGGTGCATGCTCCGACTACAAGCCTATTAATGCTGGTGTTCTACAAGGCTGCGTGCTATCACCAACGCTGTTTCTTTTGCATATCAATGATATGTTACGAAGCGGTAACATTCATTGATATGCGGATGACAGCACTGGTGATGCTCTATACACTGACCGTACCAATATTACTCGGGAAAACGTCGCCGAATACCGGAACAAATTTGTGTCTGAAGTCGAGTCTTTGCTGAACAAAGTCTATGATTGGGGGCGACTAAATCTAGTCCAGTTTAATCCTCAGAAGCCACAAGTTTGCGTGTTTACCGCTGACAAGAACCACTTTGTCGTATCTCCTCAGTTTCAAGGCACTCCCCTTATTGCTATAACCAGTATCGGAATCCTCGGCCTCGACATATCGAGTGACGTGCAGTTTCGTGATCACGTGGAAGGGAAGACCAAATTGGCCTCTAAAAAGCTTGGCTGGCGTGCTCAGTAGAGCGGGACAGTATTTCATGCCGGCACACCGCCTGCAAATTTACAAAGCGCAGGTTCGGCCTTACATGGAATACTGTCCATCTCTGGGCTGCGGCTCCCCAGTGCCAGCTCATTCGACTTGACCGCATCCAGCGCAGAGCGGCTAGAATTGTCGACGATCGAGTCCTTTCAATCCGAATAGGATTGATCCCAGCTGCCGAATTTCACGGACGCACATCGCGGCAAAACTCCCGATACCATCCACTCCATCTAGATGCTTGGCGGTCCACCACTGTACGTTTCACTAGGAGTTTTATTCCGCGTACGACCTCTTTGTGGAATAATTTACCACAGGCGATTTTTCCGAACCGATACGACTTAGGGACCTTCAAGAAAAGAGCCTACTCCTTTTTAAAAGGCCGGCAACGCACCTGCAATTCACAGTGGTAGTCACTTACCATTAGGGGAGCCGCATGCTCGTTTGCCCCCTCTCCTATAAAAAAAGACATGCAGGAAGTGGATCGATGCAGGTGGTTGAGGACCGTGCTTTGTGACATTCCTTGGGGTAGGCCTAGGTTCAGCAGTGGACTTGTGAAGGGCTGTAATGATGATGATGATGATTTTTAACTATTTAATCAAAAATTGGAATGTTTTGCATGCAATAATATACACTATTTAGCTTGTACTTGCGCGATACTAAATAAACTTATTAATGGTTTGCAGTTATTAGTAGTTTGCAGTAGTTTAATTCCCGGATCTGACGACGCATACTTGTGTGATATTTTGTACATTTATACTTAATTTATTTATATTATGTTGGCACTTGGTGAAACTTAAGCTTCATTTTTGTGATTTGCATACACACTTGTACTTGTTTCACAATATTTATTCAAATATTGTAAAACAAGTACAAGCATATGTGTAATAAATACTAATAGTGAGTCAACTCGGCGACTAGACGGAGCAACGATGGAGCGCGGTATGAAGGAGAGCGGAGTCCGCCCCCCCTGCCTGCGTCGTCTGCTGTAGTACCGGTCGGCTTTGCTTGCGTACCGGTACGCCCAGTTAGGAGTGTCACGTACACGGAATCAGTTGCGAGCGTTTGGTGTTCACTCAACAACACGGTATTACTCGGTATTATTTTGAAATATTGGGAAAGATTGTATGACGCCTTAGGTAAAATTAAATTGTAATAACTTTGTGATAGCTTTCCATCGCGATTATTAATTTAATTAAATGTTAGGATGAGAATTAATTTTATCATTAAATTCAACAAGAGATAATTAAAAAAGCCAAATGATAAATGCTTTAAATATTTGTCGGTTGCACATCTGTAATGAGGCGGTTGAATAAATAGAACCAACGTGTAATTTTAACCTGTTTTATATATTCTGTTCAACCCCCTATCCAATATTTTAAGCGGAATATGTGAGATACTGCTATGTTGGTAAAATATAGTAAAATTAGGTAGGCAGCACAAGCTATTATTGCCATCACGGCGAATCATGCGAAGCTGCGGAACGCAACTAGTTTTGTAAAGTAGTAATTAGTTTCTATTTTTGTATAGAAAAGTAAATGCTTACTAGGAAGGAATACAGATAAAATTTAATGTTATAATATTATTATCTAAGGAAATATTTTTGTGACAACCCTAGCATATTTTTTGCGACTAGACGTCGAGACATCTTTGTAGGTATTTTGCGATATAACAAAGAAGTTGTTACCCAATATTAGTATTTATTACACATATAGTACAAGTGAGTATTCAAATCACAAAAATGAACTTTTTTAAATTATAATTTAAAATTTAAAATTTTGTACAGCCGACTTCAATATAAGTCATTGAGAATAACTCAATAACTATTGGTCTGACCTTGGTCAAATTCTTATGGGACCACACGAGAAGTATCAGCTTTCATTTCAAATAAAAAAAGAATCATCGAAATCGGTTCACCCAGTAAAAAGCTATGAGGTAACACACATAAAAAAGACTAACAGTCGAATTGAGTACCGTCTCCTTTTTGGAAGTCGGCAGAAAAGTAAACGACATCATCTGTTCCTAGTAGGTGTTGGATTAATCGTCCATAAGTTTCTTTAACAACGTTGTAACGATTCAGAACTTGTGGGCAAGGGTTGCGTTCCCTATACTCAGAATCACAAAACGGTATTTGTTAAAGTTCATATAGTTTTAGGCAACAATCTCGGCACAGTCTGATGAGGATGTGGATGAGATGTTTCAGGATATCTCTATAGCCACTAAAACAAACACACGCTAAACTCAACTATATGTTGTTAATAGTAAATTTGTACGCAAAACTAGACACAAGAGATAATTTTGAGTTGAAGTTAGCGAAATTCAGAATGGCAACAAAATCCAAGAGTTCAACAGCTGGCCGACTACATGGAGAGCGAGGGACTCTTTATGATGACCTCTTTCTTCCAGAAGCGTTTCCACAGGAAATGAATCTTATGATTCCTACGATTCGACGAAAAATTAGATTGACTTCATTATGACGACTGGACGGCAACGGTTTCAGTGATCGCGAAGGTGAAAGCTGGCCGCGATTACATAATTGTAATTTTTTTGCTTGCACGTTGAACCTTAACTTTAGGTTAGAGAGGTCACGTCTAATGAAGTCAATGCTCAGACCCTTTTTAAGGGAAACGGGGCATTTAGTCGGGGTTAGTCCTCACGGGTGACAACGCATCTGCATTTTGATTCGTAATCGAGGATAAATGTAGATATCTATGGGCCACAGTAACCACTTACCATCAGGAGGACTGTGTGCTCGTTTGTCACCCTTATCCTATAAAAAATGGTCTAATCCAAACTTCCGAAAACTGTCATTTTAAATTGTAAATTCGTTTTCAATGCCTAGAAAATTGTAATAGTCATTGCAGCTCGTGGAAACTGTCCACGCGGTCGGAGCTAAATTTTGCAAGACCCGTCGTATAATAAATTAAATGCTTTCCGATCGTACCGCTATTTCTTAATCAGGCGTTTGTTTTCCAGTGTTGATAAGTCTGGTGGGCGGGTCGCTGGGCGCAGTGGGATGGGGTGCGTTGGGAGAACGCTTGGGTCGCCGTCGCACGCTGTTGTCTTGTCTCGCCGTCAACGCAGTTTTCGCCGCCATTGCCGCTTTCATGCCAACCTATGGCACATTCATGATGGCCAGGTAAGCGAATAAGCTTAATTTAAATTAAGTTTAAAATTATTTTAAAAAGGGTGACTTTTGTACGACATTGCTTTGTGTGTAGGTTCTGCTCGGCGATCGGGTCCGGCGGCACGGTGGCCGTTGGCTACACGTACTGCGGCGAGTGGTTCGGGCGCGCGCAGCGGCGGCGCGCACTGGCGCTGCCGGCCGCCGGCATGGGCGCGGGCGCGCTGCTCGCCGCCGCGCTCGCGCACGCCGCGCTGCCCGACACCGGCGCCGCCGCGCTCAAGGAGAACAAGGAGCACTTCAGCGCCTGGCACAGGTACCGCTGCTCGTTGTTGTTACTGTTGCTGCCGGCCGCCGGCATGGGCGCGGGCGCGCTGCTCGCCGCCGCGCTCGCGCACGCCGCGCTGCCCGACACCGGCGCCGCCGCGCTCAAGGAGAACAAGGAGCACTTCAGCGCCTGGCACAGGTACCGCTGCTCGTTGTTGTTACTGTTGCTGCCGGCCGCCGGCATGGGCGCGGGCGCGCTGCTCGCCGCCGCGCTCGCGCACGCCGCGCTGCCCGACACCGGCGCCGCCGCGCTCAAGGAGAACAAGGAGCACTTCAGCGCCTGGCACAGGTACCGCTGCTCGTTGTTGTTACTGTTGCTGCCGGCCGCCGGCATGGGCGCGGGCGCGCTGCTCGCCGCCGCGCTCGCGCACGCCGCGCTGCCCGACACCGGCGCCGCCGCGCTCAAGGAGAACAAGGAGCACTTCAGCGCCTGGCACAGGTACCGCTGCTCGTTGTTGTTACTGTTGCTGCCGGCCGCCGGCATGGGCGCGGGCGCGCTGCTCGCCGCCGCGCTCGCGCACGCCGCGCTGCCCGACACCGGCGCCGCCGCGCTCAAGGAGAACAAGGAGCACTTCAGCGCCTGGCACAGGTACCGCTGCTCGTTGTTGTTACTGTTGCTGCCGGCCGCCGGCATGGGCGCGGGCGCGCTGCTCGCCGCCGCGCTCGCGCACGCCGCGCTGCCCGACACCGGCGCCGCCGCGCTCAAGGAGAACAAGGAGCACTTCAGCGCCTGGCACAGGTACCGCTGCTCGTTGTTGTTACTGTTGCTGCCGGCCGCCGGCATGGGCGCGGGCGCGCTGCTCGCCGCCGCGCTCGCGCACGCCGCGCTGCCCGACACCGGCGCCGCCGCGCTCAAGGAGAACAAGGAGCACTTCAGCGCCTGGCACAGGTACCGCTGCTCGTTGTTGTTACTGTTGCTGCCGGCCGCCGGCATGGGCGCGGGCGCGCTGCTCGCCGCCGCGCTCGCGCACGCCGCGCTGCCCGACACCGGCGCCGCCGCGCTCAAGGAGAACAAGGAGCACTTCAGCGCCTGGCACAGGTACCGCTGCTCGTTGTTGTTACTGTTGCTGCCGGCCGCCGGCATGGGCGCGGGCGCGCTGCTCGCCGCCGCGCTCGCGCACGCCGCGCTGCCCGACACCGGCGCCGCCGCGCTCAAGGAGAACAAGGAGCACTTCAGCGCCTGGCACAGGTACCGCTGCTCGTTGTTGTTACTGTTGCTGCCGGCCGCCGGCATGGGCGCGGGCGCGCTGCTCGCCGCCGCGCTCGCGCACGCCGCGCTGCCCGACACCGGCGCCGCCGCGCTCAAGGAGAACAAGGAGCACTTCAGCGCCTGGCACAGGTACCGCTGCTCGTTGTTGTTACTGTTGCTGCCGGCCGCCGGCATGGGCGCGGGCGCGCTGCTCGCCGCCGCGCTCGCGCACGCCGCGCTGCCCGACACCGGCGCCGCCGCGCTCAAGGAGAACAAGGAGCACTTCAGCGCCTGGCACAGGTACCGCTGCTCGTTGTTGTTACTGTTGCTGCCGGCCGCCGGCATGGGCGCGGGCGCGCTGCTCGCCGCCGCGCTCGCGCACGCCGCGCTGCCCGACACCGGCGCCGCCGCGCTCAAGGAGAACAAGGAGCACTTCAGCGCCTGGCACAGGTACCGCTGCTCGTTGTTGTTACTGTTGCTGCCGGCCGCCGGCATGGGCGCGGGCGCGCTGCTCGCCGCCGCGCTCGCGCACGCCGCGCTGCCCGACACCGGCGCCGCCGCGCTCAAGGAGAACAAGGAGCACTTCAGCGCCTGGCACAGGTACCGCTGCTCGTTGTTGTTACTGTTGCTGCCGGCCGCCGGCATGGGCGCGGGCGCGCTGCTCGCCGCCGCGCTCGCGCACGCCGCGCTGCCCGACACCGGCGCCGCCGCGCTCAAGGAGAACAAGGAGCACTTCAGCGCCTGGCACAGGTACCGCTGCTCGTTGTTGTTACTGTTGCTGCCGGCCGCCGGCATGGGCGCGGGCGCGCTGCTCGCCGCCGCGCTCGCGCACGCCGCGCTGCCCGACACCGGCGCCGCCGCGCTCAAGGAGAACAAGGAGCACTTCAGCGCCTGGCACAGGTACCGCTGCTCGTTGTTGTTACTGTTGCTGCCGGCCGCCGGCATGGGCGCGGGCGCGCTGCTCGCCGCCGCGCTCGCGCACGCCGCGCTGCCCGACACCGGCGCCGCCGCGCTCAAGGAGAACAAGGAGCACTTCAGCGCCTGGCACAGGTACCGCTGCTCGTTGTTGTTACTGTTGCTGCCGGCCGCCGGCATGGGCGCGGGCGCGCTGCTCGCCGCCGCGCTCGCGCACGCCGCGCTGCCCGACACCGGCGCCGCCGCGCTCAAGGAGAACAAGGAGCACTTCAGCGCCTGGCACAGGTACCGCTGCTCGTTGTTGTTACTGTTGCTGCCGGCCGCCGGCATGGGCGCGGGCGCGCTGCTCGCCGCCGCGCTCGCGCACGCCGCGCTGCCCGACACCGGCGCCGCCGCGCTCAAGGAGAACAAGGAGCACTTCAGCGCCTGGCACAGGTACCGCTGCTCGTTGTTGTTACTGTTGCTGCCGGCCGCCGGCATGGGCGCGGGCGCGCTGCTCGCCGCCGCGCTCGCGCACGCCGCGCTGCCCGACACCGGCGCCGCCGCGCTCAAGGAGAACAAGGAGCACTTCAGCGCCTGGCACAGGTACCGCTGCTCGTTGTTGTTACTGTTGCTGCCGGCCGCCGGCATGGGCGCGGGCGCGCTGCTCGCCGCCGCGCTCGCGCACGCCGCGCTGCCCGACACCGGCGCCGCCGCGCTCAAGGAGAACAAGGAGCACTTCAGCGCCTGGCACAGGTACCGCTGCTCGTTGTTGTTACTGTTGCTGCCGGCCGCCGGCATGGGCGCGGGCGCGCTGCTCGCCGCCGCGCTCGCGCACGCCGCGCTCGCGCACGCCGCGCTGCCCGACACCGGCGCCGCCGCGCTCAAGGAGAACAAGGAGCACTTCAGCGCCTGGCACAGGTACCGCTGCTCGTTGTTGTTACTGTTGCTGCCGGCCGCCGGCATGGGCGCGGGCGCGCTGCTCGCCGCCGCGCTCGCGCACGCCGCGCTGCCCGACACCGGCGCCGCCGCGCTCAAGGAGAACAAGGAGCACTTCAGCGCCTGGCACAGGTACCGCTGCTCGTTGTTGTTACTGTTGCTGCCGGCCGCCGGCATGGGCGCGGGCGCGCTGCTCGCCGCCGCGCTCGCGCACGCCGCGCTGCCCGACACCGGCGCCGCCGCGCTCAAGGAGAACAAGGAGCACTTCAGCGCCTGGCACAGGTACCGCTGCTCGTTGTTGTTACTGTTGCTGCCGGCCGCCGGCATGGGCGCGGGCGCGCTGCTCGCCGCCGCGCTCGCGCACGCCGCGCTGCCCGACACCGGCGCCGCCGCGCTCAAGGAGAACAAGGAGCACTTCAGCGCCTGGCACAGGTACCGCTGCTCGTTGTTGTTACTGTTGCTGCCGGCCGCCGGCATGGGCGCGGGCGCGCTGCTCGCCGCCGCGCTCGCGCACGCCGCGCTGCCCGACACCGGCGCCGCCGCGCTCAAGGAGAACAAGGAGCACTTCAGCGCCTGGCACAGGTACCGCTGCTCGTTGTTGTTACTGTTGCTGCCGGCCGCCGGCGCGGGCACGGGCGCGCTGCTCGCCGCCGCGCTCGCGGTGAGTGTGAGATTCACACGCTCTACCATAGTTTCTCTTTCAGACAGGATTTGAGCCCGACTGGCCCGAGGACTTGGTTGGTATCTCTCCGTAACTGTGTCTATCGTCTGCATACCCGTATTTTTATTTTTGTTATTTTAAAGTCGGTAAAAATATAAGACATTTTATTAAAGTTAAACAGATACGTCAGAAATATCGTCCATGACGTATGAAGGGGAAAAGATACAAAGCCATATTGACACTCGCGTGCAGCGATAAAGTTTAATTTAGCATGCGTGCGTGATTTATCTAATTAATAGTAATTATGTAGACTATTAAAACGTCGGCAAGTAGTCAACATCAAAGGAGTTGTTTGGTAGTTTGAAAAAGAAAGAGAATCATAGATGGCGCTTTACAATTGGCAAGGATAGATGGCGCTAATATTTATAATATATTTGGTTTTCAACAGGAGTGCAACTTCTATACTTAGTACTATTATTTATCCTGTGATAGAACTTGCGCAATACACCAGTGGACTTTATTAACTTAAGGAAAAAATAGGTGAAGATAGGTGTGCGAAGTAGAAGCCTATGGCATAGACATTTTTCAAATTTATTGTTTTTTCATTGAAATTTTATCAAATTGATCTCCATTGAAATTGACAAATTGAATCGTTATTCATCATCATCATCATAATCATTACAGCCCTTGACAAGGAATGCTACAAAGCACGGTCCCGAGCCACCTGCATCCATTGACTTCCTGCATGTTTTACCAGGTCATCACTATATCTAACGGGGGGACGCCCTTAACTTCGCCTGCCGGTACGAGGCTGCCACTCGAAAGCCTTTCTTCCCATTTCTTTGCTTTTCAGTGCTTCGAGCTATGTGGCCGGCCCATTACCACTTCAGCTTACTAATCTGTTGGGCTATATCGGTTACTCTGGTTCTACTGCGGATATCCTCGTTTTAAGTCACGCAGAGAAACTGAGCTTCCTCATACGAGCCAGCAGCACTTTTGACGATTTAATCGTTATTCATGATTAATAAATTATCTTTTACTTGAGTCGCGATGACTTTCACTGAATTCACTTCGGACTTTTTACTATAAGTGGCGGCGCTATGATCGAGATATTAATAAAATCTATTAATATCTCGATCACAACGCCACTTGTCAAATGCTCTTGTGACCGAATAATGGCAGTATTTCTGTTCGAAAACGCCGAACATAAATTTAATATAATTTATCGGGGTAAGGAGTGGCATCAACAGTGCAAGGTGATCGAAATCTTTTAACAATAAACTTGGCACATTCTTGGAAAGTTTAATACGATTGATTCTTGGAAAGTTTTCTTTTATTTCAGGTACCTCCTCCTGTGCACTTTACCAATAATAGCTTCTTTAATAAGCCTGATTTGGACACAAGAATCGCCGCGATACTTACTGGACGTGGGACGAGAGGTTGATGCCATGATGGTGTATCAGGTAAATGTTTTTTAAAACATGTTTTTCCAAAGTTTTTTACTTATTACATATAAGTACATCTTATTTACATGTATGAAACTACAATCCTAATAATAACCTTCGCATTGTTAGACTCTTATCAATAACTTATAATTTAAATGTAGGTCTTTTTTCTGTTGATTTGTTGTATTTTATTCCAATATAGTCTTTGCGACGGCTCACGCCTATGAAGTTTCGTATTTTTTAGATAAACTGTCATACAAATATTGTTGTACTTCATGGGTGGGTACCGCCCACTTACGATAGTGATGTGCCACGCTAAATTATGCCATGCCATAACGAACAACCACAGACTATAAAAAAAAATCGGTTTTGAAATAAATCGAATATATAAAAATCACGTAAATATGTATTGGAATTGGAAATAATCGTTCAGAAAATTATGATTTACGGAAAAAAAAAACACACATATACGAATATGCTGTGTTTCCCCCATGTATGGATGATAAATTACTCGTTGGTTAGCTCAGACAAAAAAAATAATTATAAAACAAATTGCACATTGTGTCAAAAAAACTATCATAACTCATTCTTTTGAATGAATATTCATTCATTACAGATATTCACAAGTCCACTGCTGAACATAGGCCTCCCCCAAGGAATGCCACAAGGCACGGTCCCAAACCACCTGCATCCATTGAGTTCCTGCATGCCATACCAGGTTGTCACTCTATCTAGCGGGGGGAAGCCCTACACTTCGCCTGCCGGTACTAGGCTGCCACTCACGAACATTTCTTCCCCATCGGTTGTCGGTTCATCGAGCTATAGGGCCGGCCCATTGCCACTTCAGCATACTAATTCCTTGGGGCTATGTCGGTTACTCTGGTTCTAATGTAAATATCCTCGATTTTAAGTCTATCACCCAGAGAAAAGCCGAGCATAGCTCTCTCCATAGCTCGCTGAGCGACTTTGAGCTTCCTTATACGGCCAGCAGTGAAGAACCACGTCTCAGGTCCATAGGTCATCACTGGCAACACGCACTGGTTGTACAATCTAGTTTTGAGGTATGTCTGACGAGAAGATGTGTCGTAATCTCCCGAACGCTGCCCAGTCAAGTTGAATCCGTCGATTGACCTCTCGGTCGAAGTTGGATTTACCTAGTCGGACTATTTGTCCCAGGTAAACATATTCGTCAACAACTTCGAGCTTAGTGCTCCCAACAACTACCGGCACAAGTGTGACATGGACGTTAAACATGATTTTTGTTCTGTCCATGTTCATCTTAAGACCTATCCGTTGGCAGACACTATTGAGGTCATTGAGCATAGTGCTTAGGTCCTCCAGCGATTCTGCCATAAGGACTATATCGTCGGCAAATCGAAGGTGAGTGATGTACTCGCCATTGATCTCATGGTGGCCAAAATGGCTACAAAACATATTTTTTTATTTTTATGCCATTAGATTTGTAAACCAATATCTCAATTATTTTTACCTTCCGTCCCGATATTTGGCCATTTGGACCTGGCAACGTTTTCCTCGAAGTTTTTCTTTTATTTTCGGAAATAAAAATCGCAAGATGCGAGGTCGGGGCTATAGGGCGGGTGACCCTGTAATTCCACGTCTGACGTCGCCATGTAGTCGATTGTTTGCTTGGTGGTGTGCGACTTGGTATTGTTGTGGTAAATGAGGATCCTACTGCGAAGTCGTTTCTCCCGAACTTTTTCCAAGACAAGTGGCAAACAATTGTTAGTGTACCACTCTGCAGTAACTGTTTTTCAATCCTCTAAAACAATTGTTGCGTAATGACTTGTCCTTCCGAAGAACAAGGCCACCATCTTTCTTCCCACGCTTTGACCTCTCTTCACTTTAGTTGGCAACTCCTCGGAAGGAAACACCCAGACAGGAGACTGTCTCTTAGTTTCAGGATCATAATAATAAATCCAGCTTTCGTCACTCGTAAGTATGTCGAACACAGCATTTGGATCACCTCCGTTAACTCTTTGAACTATTTCACGACACCAATCAACACGACGGAGTTTTTGGGCCTCTGTCAAATTATGAAGTATCCACCACGCTTCCTGACCGCTAAATCTTTATGGAGGATTTTGTGCACTTGACTCATACCGATGCCTAAGCTTGTCCGAATCTGCTGATAAATCACTCTTTTGTCAGTCTCTATCATAAGCCGCACAACAATGATGTTATCTTTAGTCGTCGCCGTAGAAGGTCGTCCCTGACGCAGATCATCGGTGAGATTACTGCGACCACGTTTAAACTCATTAATCCAGTTGTAAAAAGTGGCACGAGATGGGGCTACATCGTGAAAGGCCAATCGAAGTCTATCACAACTTTCTTGTTGAAAAAACCATTGTACGAAAATTTTCTCGCGTTAAATTCATGCTGACGTGACACACAATTTTCAATTTGCCGCCAAAGCCTAAATAAATGACAAATTAATAAAATACATACACAATAATATTGGCAACGAATTCCATTTTTAAAATTTGAACTTATTTTTTATTATATCGTTTACAAGTGGCCAGTTCTAAAAACTTTCAGTGTCGTCCTCGTAACATAGGCTACTTTTATTATAGAAAAATAATTAGGTTTCCGCCCAAAAAAACTAAAACCCATGAAATCCAATCGGAATAAATTAAATACCAAGCGGACGAGGTCCGGGAACTGCTATTACATAACTATTATGTCATAATTTGTACTAAACTTTAAGTTAATTTTACATGCCTTGTAGTTTATAAAGAAATATATGTATCGGTTTTAATTTTTATATCGATAACTAATCGATAATTTTTACTTTGCTTTGTGTATCGTTAATTGCCTTTTTTTAAATCGATTTAACATTGTTCCATCTCTAGACATGCCAAACTAAGCTGTCACCAGCACCATGCCCTAACGAAAATACTATAGATCTGGTTGTTTAAATTTGTAATATTATATATTATTTAAGTACTATTACCATTTTTATTATTAACAAGTTAGTTACTAACATGATAATGAAAATTAATTATTGACTCCAATAAAACTTCAGTTCGCAGCATAGTTTAAGATAATCTAAAAAAACTAACTAACTTATCATATTTTCAGAATATTCATAGCAGCAATCAAATCCGTATCTGCGGTAAAGCGAACGTTGCTGCTGCCGGCGGAGACTCTGAGTACAGATTGGGAGAATTGTCGCTTCCTGGAAAACGTCGGCCTCCCGCACTTCATCATGTCCGTCATAGCGTCAAAATGGTAAATACAATCCAGTTTTTTTTGTAATATAATGTAAAAACATTAATTACACATAATTATTATAAATTTACATTATTGAATTCTACATCTATTCATAAAATTTGTATCAGTGTTTTGTATAAGTGAGACATGTCATTAATCTTTTTTGTTGACAGTTCTGGCAAGCATTCTTTCAACTTTTCTCAAGTCCATACCGAAGTACAACGATCTCTCTTGGTGGAATATTACTTTTTAGTATGGCTATACAGGTAAGTACTACAAATTCCTGTTTTAAATAAAATTCGTTGCTATCACCGAAATCATACCACAAAAAGTCTACTGCATACGTTTGCGACACTTGGTAAGCGCAGTACTGATTTCGGTACTACAGGCTATATTTATGCTATTTTATACTTATATGAGTCTTATGGTATTCAGTAACTTTAAGGTGTTTATTTATTTTGCCATCCAAGGTTCTGCTGTCATACAGGCTAAACTGCACATTCTAACGTACTTAGTCGTTGGAAACTGTGAATTGTAAGTCATATTCAATATTATCGTTTAGAAAAATATATACATAAACGTATGTATAGACATATTGTAATGTCTGCTATCTTCTCTAATCACTGTAGTGTAACACAGGTTCGGCACGCACTTAACTAAACACGTCCACTCTCGCCCGAGGCTCTCGTGTACCTGACGCGGTGCGCTCGAGACTGTGACTTATATATATATATATGGAAACACTACACATATGATTAAAGACGATGACCACACAATAACATAATGTACTGATGGCAAAAAAGGGGAAAATATATTTAAAAAAATAGTTATCATTAATATGTGTTCAATATTACTTCTTTGTCGAATAAAGCTAATTAATAATATGCAATAATTGGTATTGTTTTGTAACTTAGATGGTTTTAACGAATCTATTGTATACAACGTAGATTAAATAGTTTGCACTATATTTTGCAGTTGGTCCAAAAAAAACACTAATTTTAAATTTCAACCATAAACACATATGGCATAACGTTGCATATTATATGACATTGAAATCGAAAAATTTAATTTATTTTTTTGTAAAATGTGCGGATTTTATCATGCAGAGATAGTTCGAGTCTATTACTTACCATAACTCACTGACTATTTGATTTTTCTCATACGGTCGTAACTCGTAATTAACTCGTAATAATCTATAGAGGAGAAGGCCTATGATTAGCAGTAGATTTGTGATGAGTTCTATTGGTATTTGCCTACATTACTTTATAATTACCAACCGTCTTCAGAAAGGAGGAGGTTTACAATTCGTCGGAATCTTTTTTTTTATGTATGTTCACCGATTAATCGAAGACGTCTGAACCGATTTGAAAAATTCTTTTTTTGTTTCAAAGGGTACATAGGGCTTTTCAGGTGGTGGCAAATTGTATGGAAATCGGTCGAGTGGTTTAAAAAAAATCAACAATAAGTTATATTTATATTGGAGCCGGTTGTACAAAATTTTTAATTGTACCATTTGTTTAATTTTCAGTATTACCTATCGTCATACGTTCCGGCAATGGTGTTAAAAACTGACAGTGAAGAATTCGAAGCATCCAAGCGTTTAGTCGTAAATGAATCCTTCGTAAACGAACACTACAACGAGACGCTCGAGAACGTGGAGTACGTGGAGGTCGCGTTCCGGGACTGCACCTTCCGCGACATGATTATATCGCACGTCGAGTTCGACAACTGTACCTTCACTAACGTCTCCTTCTCTAACATCATGTCTTCCTACACCACCTTCAAGGAGTGTAACTTCGTTAATAGCACGTGAGTTGTTCGTGTGATATTTTTATGTGTTTTTGATTTTTCATTTATTTAAAAATCAGGTCTACAACCAAAACGTAACGTGAGAAGTATGAATATATGATGTTGAAGTCGACAATGTTTCATTAAGACGAGAACTCCCGAATAATCGGAAGTTTTATACGCGTGACAGATATAATTATGGTGTATAAATGTATGGGTGTGTGTTTCTCTCTCTCTCTCTCTCTGTGTGTGTGTGTGTGTGTGTGTGTGTGTGTGTGTGTGTGTGTGTGTGTGTGCGTGTGAGTGTGAGTGTGTGTGCGTGAGCGCGCGCGCGCGCGTGTGTGTGCGTGTGTGCGCGCCATTTTTGGAAGGACTGAAAAGGTTTAGACAAATTTTCCAACAAAATCTACTGCCAGACTGGTCGCAAATGTTAAATGTGACATTATATTCTTCATAGATTTGGTGATTACTAATGTTTTAAATTAAACAAATACTAATATTAAATAGACAAAATACTCAAAAATAGAAAATGACAAAGTTAACCTCACTTTGCCATCAGGGTTTATAATGAAAATAATAGGATTTGACTTCGTGGTTGAAGGTTTACCTCATAATATAATACACAACACCCAGAGTTGTGGTTTGCTTCTTTAATTGTGTTGCAAATAGCAAAGTTTACGCTTGTGGCAAAGTTGCCCTCCTATTTTTCATACAAACTTGAAGATATGTGTCAGGGTTTCCAAAAATCCTTGATTACGTACTTAACTTAATTTTTTTATTTATATCTTGTCACAATAATATCTTAAGAAAAACTGTAAAATATATCAAACAAAAATACTCTCGTCTAAAATTAAAAATAAAATTGGTGCAATAATAAGCTTAAATCAATTATATATATCTTTTAATAAAGATGAATTGATTAACAACTTATTTGGTAAAATCGGTCTATTGGGCTGCTACGGTCATACATATATATACATAGAATGTCAAGTGCTGAACAGTTTGTTTAAATAGTTGTAATTGGTTAAAAATATAGGTTGAAAGTGATTGTAACAAAACATGGTAAAGTAACCGTCATATCGTTAGTATCACTAGTATGGTAAATTTGCCAAGTTAGTTTTATAGATAAATGTTAATATCAACATGTTAAAAATGATATATTGGATTTGATAACCATTAATATTACGGTTTTACAAATATAGATACCTACATTGATTATTTCAAATAAAAAAAAATTAAGTTCTAGAGCACTGAATAAAGAGATCATTTCATCGGCACAATTTTACGTTAAAATAAAATGCCAAAATTAACTCTCATATTGCCATATCAGAAGCAATACTGTCAATTAGTCATTGCATTTTCATCCAAAACATGGCTTATTTCGAAAAACGTTATGTTTTCCGTGTTAATAGTAATTTTGTACCAGTACACTCCGATGGCAAAGTTAACATCCATCGGTACAGTTGCCAGACCTGTCTTGTACGTAAAAAAAAAGTGATTGCAGTGTGGTGTGGTGTGCGTGTGCGCAGTATAATCGACACGGACATGGAGGTGGGGCGCGAGCTGCGCGCGTGCGCGCTGGCGGGCAGCGTGGTGCGCGGCATGCGCGGCGGCTGCGCGCGGCGCGCCGACCTGCGCTCGCGCCTGGCGCCGCTGCGCCGCGAGCAGGCGCACGCCGCGCGCGCCGCGCTGCTGGCCGCCGCCGCCGCGCTGCTGCCCTACCCGCGCCGCCTGCGCATCCGCCCCGCCGGTTAGTATACCATACGCACGCACCACACGCGCGGCGCGCCGACCTGCGCTCGCGCCTGGCGCCGCTGCGCCGCGAGCAGGCGCACGCCGCGCGCGCCGCGCTGCTGGCCGCCGCCGCCGCGCTGCTGCCCTACCCGCGCCGCCTGCGCATCCGCCCCGCCGGTTAGTATACCATACGCACGCACCACACGCGCGGCGCGCCGACCTGCGCTCGCGCCTGGCGCCGCTGCGCCGCGAGCAGGCGCACGCCGCGCGCGCCGCGCTGCTGGCCGCCGCCGCCGCGCTGCTGCCCTACCCGCGCCGCCTGCGCATCCGCCCCGCCGGTTAGTATACCATACGCACGCACCACACGCGCGGCGCGCCGACCTGCGCTCGCGCCTGGCGCCGCTGCGCCGCGAGCAGGCGCACGCCGCGCGCGCCGCGCTGCTGGCCGCCGCCGCCGCGCTGCTGCCCTACCCGCGCCGCCTGCGCATCCGCCCCGCCGGTTAGTATACCATACGCACGCACCACACGCGCGGCGCGCCGACCTGCGCTCGCGCCTGGCGCCGCTGCGCCGCGAGCAGGCGCACGCCGCGCGCGCCGCGCTGCTGGCCGCCGCCGCCGCGCTGCTGCCCTACCCGCGCCGCCTGCGCATCCGCCCCGCCGGTTAGTATACCATACGCACGCACCACACGCGCGGCGCGCCGACCTGCGCTCGCGCCTGGCGCCGCTGCGCCGCGAGCAGGCGCACGCCGCGCGCGCCGCGCTGCTGGCCGCCGCCGCCGCGCTGCTGCCCTACCCGCGCCGCCTGCGCATCCGCCCCGCCGGTTAGTATACCATACGCACGCACCACACGCGCGGCGCGCCGACCTGCGCTCGCGCCTGGCGCCGCTGCGCCGCGAGCAGGCGCACGCCGCGCGCGCCGCGCTGCTGGCCGCCGCCGCCGCGCTGCTGCCCTACCCGCGCCGCCTGCGCATCCGCCCCGCCGGTTAGTATACCATACGCACGCACCACACGCGCGGCGCGCCGACCTGCGCTCGCGCCTGGCGCCGCTGCGCCGCGAGCAGGCGCACGCCGCGCGCGCCGCGCTGCTGGCCGCCGCCGCCGCGCTGCTGCCCTACCCGCGCCGCCTGCGCATCCGCCCCGCCGGTTAGTATACCATACGCACGCACCACACGCGCGGCGCGCCGACCTGCGCTCGCGCCTGGCGCCGCTGCGCCGCGAGCAGGCGCACGCCGCGCGCGCCGCGCTGCTGGCCGCCGCCGCCGCGCTGCTGCCCTACCCGCGCCGCCTGCGCATCCGCCCCGCCGGTTAGTATACCATACGCACGCACCACACGCGCGGCGCGCCGACCTGCGCTCGCGCCTGGCGCCGCTGCGCCGCGAGCAGGCGCACGCCGCGCGCGCCGCGCTGCTGGCCGCCGCCGCCGCGCTGCTGCCCTACCCGCGCCGCCTGCGCATCCGCCCCGCCGGTTAGTATACCATACGCACGCACCACACGCGCGGCGCGCCGACCTGCGCTCGCGCCTGGCGCCGCTGCGCCGCGAGCAGGCGCACGCCGCGCGCGCCGCGCTGCTGGCCGCCGCCGCCGCGCTGCTGCCCTACCCGCGCCGCCTGCGCATCCGCCCCGCCGGTTAGTATACCATACGCACGCACCACACGCGCGGCGCGCCGACCTGCGCTCGCGCCTGGCGCCGCTGCGCCGCGAGCAGGCGCACGCCGCGCGCGCCGCGCTGCTGGCCGCCGCCGCCGCGCTGCTGCCCTACCCGCGCCGCCTGCACATCCGCCCCGCCGGTTAGTATACCATACGCACCACACACCACGAAATTCACGATACCATCATACAATAGAATAATTTTTTATTCAATATAGATAACATGTGTAATTCTTATTGAAAGTCATTTTTTACTATACCACTGGTTTGAAAAAAAAACCTCTGTCCTGGGAAGAACCAGCAAGAAACCCAGCGGGACTTTTTTTAATCATCACCATCTGGATGCTTGGCGGTCCACCACTGTGCGTTTTACTACAAGTTTTCTTCCTCGTACAACTTCTCTGTGGAATTGTTTGCCGCCGGCGATTTTTCCGGACCGATACGATTTAAGGACCTTCAAGAAAAGAGCATACACCTTTCTAAAAGGCCGGCAACGCATTTGCAATCCTGGTGTTGCGGTGAGATGAGCCACATGCTCGTTTGCCCCCTCTTCTATAAGAAAAAAAAACAACTTTTCCCACTGAAAACTTCTTCATGATCATATACTCAATCGCTACTCAATTTGAACATGTCATTAAATCTCGTGGTGTCACAGTCACTTTGACCACAGAATAAATAATAGTATTACGTACAGAAATTACACTCATTTGATTTTGATAACCTACATGATTATTATTAATCAGATAAATCACGCACACAAGCTAAATAAAACTTTATCGCTGCATGCGAGTGTCCGTATTACTTTGCATCTTTTCCCCTTCCTACGTCACGAAAGACTCTGTGGTTACTAAGGGCTGTTAATAAATAGTAAAAAAATACATTGTGAAATGGTAAGTTACTAAGGTAAAAAAATAATATATCTGAATCCTTTTGTTCGTTCACTACGCTTCCATCCCCATCACTGCAACAATTATAATAGAAACGACGTTTTGCCGTTATAATTTATGAAATAGATAGGTAATAATATATAATATTATCCTTAAATTACATTAAAACTTTTTCAACTATTTTATCCTACAATTAAATATACTAAACACTGAACAAAAACTATTTCGATGAGTATTTCAACAAGTATTTACAAAAAACTATTTACGTAAACAGTGTTAAAAAACTTGAACAATCAATCGGTTTAGGCGCTAGCCCCGACTTCGTTGTATATCGGGGGCGTCTCGCGATTGTAGATAATTATTTCACACAGGTGGCAAGAGTGACAGAGGCCTGCTTTAACTTAAAGTGATAGAGATAGCACGAAATTTAACAGCGTCTTAAAATTTGATGCTGCTGTGTTTCGTGTGGTAAGTGTAGAAAACCAGAGACCCATTTTACTGGTAACGAGGCATTCCATCTTAGTCGTTGAAATGACTGACTAAATGGAAAAGTGACATTGACTGTGATGAGATTCTGACACTTGGGTTCAGCGATTTTGGATAGATTCTCTCATAAGTCTGGCAGAACCTCGTCGATTATTGATGTTGGCATTTTAGAGAAAATGTATAAGAAATTATTCGCCCTTACACTTTATACATTTATATAATATAGAGAATATACGTAAATAAAAATTATATAAATATAGTTTCCTTTTATAATAAAGTTATTCATTGTTCTAGTTTTCCTATGTGCGGCGTGTATATTACTATCACCAACTCTCTATGTGGCGCAAGATGAGACAACGCTGTATATTGTAGAAGCAGCGTTCAGATTTTTTCTGACTCTCATATTTTATAATGTAGGACTCGATGTCGTGGATTCATATCCCGCAAACTTAAGGTAACTATATCATTTTTAAAATAATGTTTATTTTTTGATTACTTAAAGTTTAAATGTTGTTGTATACTTCCTACAGATGCACTGCCCACGGTCTAATACTCTCCGTGGCTTATATGGGAGGAGCTGTAGTCAAAGGAATGGGTGAACTTGGTGTCATCCTTAGTTGCGTTCTCTGTGGTCTGTTTGCCATAGCCGCGAATGCATTATCCCTGTATAAACGGTAGGAAAGTAACGAGAGTTAGCGACACTAGTACCTTGTTAAACACATATAAAGTGAATGAATTTAATAATTTTTCCAAAAAATATTTCTGTTAACCAACAAAAAATGTTATATATATATGGCTTTGTAAATTGTTTTGATACCAGTTATTTAGTCCAATCGTTAGATTACGAAGTTGAACATGACAGAATGTAAAGAATAGAAAGGAAAACAGAAAATATACAAGCATAAGAATGTTAGTATAAGGTAGCAATTAACATAGAATCAGTTTAAAGGTTTCTATTTTTAAAGGCAATTTTATTTGTGGTAGTGATATGCTGCAATTATATTATGGTTGTAGTACGAATGAATCGGTTTGACCGACGTGATTCGACCGTGAATGGGCCCCGCACTCACAGAATGTCGGCGTAAAATAGCAGGTCAAGACTGCTGTGTTTCGTATGGTGAGTGTAAAGAACCGGAGACCCGTTTTACTGGAAAAGAGGAATTCCATCTCAGTCCTCAGGGGTGGCAGTATATTTGCATTTTAATTCTTATTCGAGGATAGATGTAGATGTTTATGGGCCACGGAATCCACTTACCATCAGGTGGACTGTGTGCTCGTTTGTCACTCTTATTCTATAAAAAAAAAACAAGGACTTTTATAGAATAATAAAAAAAAGACAACTTGTATGAAATGGACAGAAAAATTGTTAAATAACAATATATATGAAATTAATTATTTAAATTGGCTTTAAACTACCGAAAATTACAAAAGGAAAAATCAAGACAAGATCAACATATAATAGCAGGAACCCGACTGCAGTGTTGTAATTATTAATTTTAAATCGTAGCGGATGTAACACTTTAAAAAAATCACACAAAAAGGGTCTAAGATATGTTTCATATAGCAACTAACCCGGGTTAAATAAAAAAATACTAATAACCTTTTAAAACTATACTCTGTAAATTTCAGCGTGAGATTTTATGTAAACAAACCATAAATAGGTTCTGTATAGGTTTTAATTATATTTGTGCTGATGAGAATACATTCGCAAATAAAAAATAATTAATGTTTAGGAGTGTAAAAAAATACCGTACCGTACCGCCTAGGTTTTTCCTTTTATTTATTTATTTACTAATTTTTACCCGTGATTTTGTCTGCGTATAACTTAAACAAAAAACCTACAGATATTTAATAGTAACCTTTGGATAAGTAGTTTAATTATCGAAAAACTACAATTCGTTTTGTTTTTGCTATTATCTCGACAACTGTGTGCGATAGGGAAAAGTTTCGAAAATAAGTTGAAAAATTATTAATTTTACGTATAAAAGGTCTCATCACCTTATCATTTAAAACTCATTATTTTGATGTAAAATGGTGTTAAAGTAAAAAAAATGTGAAAAAGATATTTTGAATCATCAGTGAGATATAGAAGGATTAAGTGTGACCTTTTTTGTGTGAAATTACAAACCAGAAGCTTTGTTCATAACTTTTTTTATTTAATTGAAGTATATGAGGTGAATCATCAGAAACAATTTATTTTATCAGTTTTGCGATTTCAGTAAAATTCCTGCATGTTTTTCGGATAAAATATTACTTCAATCACTTCTGGTATTGCTCTCTATCTCTTCGTGAATTTCCATCACAATCAGTTTCTTCATTTCAACGACTAGCTCGGACACACAGACAAAATTTCAAAATAGTTATTTATGTCTTAATAGCACTTAAATAACTTACTACTGAGCTTAATAGAAGTCTTAATTTCAATATTGCGGACAGACACTTCAATTTTATTTATATGTAAAATATTGGCAACCACCATAAAATTTTTAAAAATTATTACATTCATTCCCGATTTTAGGTCCTTTTTGGTAGAAACATACGAAAAAATTTCGTCGTTACTCAGACTTTTAAGTTTGGCATATATTGTGTTATTACTGAAAAAGTAAAAAATGGTGGTAAATGCAATAAATGTAAATGATAAAAAATTTATTAAAAGTGTCACTAAAAATCTTTCGAAGATATTCAGTCTGAATAAATACAAAACTAAAATTAATATGTTCGTATCTTTTGTTCTGTTAAATACATAATACACCAACTGGTGCCACTGGTGAAATCATTGTAGAGATATCGTATTAAATTTGGAAGTGTCATATTGCTTAATTAGGAATGATATGTAATACATTCATTGAAATTTAATGATATATGACTTTCAAATTTTGTCAGTACGATACGATACGTATGATACGCGCGCCACCTACTGTATGTTAATTCTACTATACCTATAACCTTCGCGTAAGTTAAAGCAATAAGTTTACCGCAATGTGATGAACGGTATGGCAGCGCATAAAATACGAACGAACAAATATTAATTTTTATTTATTAGATTATGATCTAATTTAATATTAAAGTAAAATTGTGGTTTATGTTTATACAGTAAATAGTATTTTTTTTTAATAACATCACAGACAAACTAAGCGCATGTACTAGTGAGGCCGAAAATGTTTGAAAAACACTGATTTATTGTTCATATAAAACCTCATGCTAAAGAGAACGGAGTATTAATCTGTATCATACATAACAATTACCGTTTTACGAATTTTTCCAATTAAATATGGTCCCTAAAAATGATTTAAGTTAATAATAATAAGTAATAACACAGCAGATGCAAATTTCTCTGTCTGTCACAATCTGTCCTCTCTATAAACTTCCAATTGAGTGAGTAATTCCTAAGTTAATGTAAACTGAATCTGGCAATATGTATGCAACTAAGAATTATTTGTTGAGTGACGTGGTGGCGTTGCCACAGACATACCGACAACCTTGAACTTTTTAATTTTTATAGTGATTTGACGTAAAATAATGGGAAATTTAAACGAAATCGGTTTGTTATTATATAATAGAATAACTATATAATAGGAAAAAGAACTGTATCAATCTTTAAACGTTTTTCCCTTCATATAAGACGCTAAGGCCATTTTATTATATTATTTAATTAAAATACATTTTTATACCATCTACTTATTGAAAAATACTAAACATTTAATAGTATCAGAGTCATTGCCAAAAACAAGTACCTAAGTGTATTTGAGATGCACTAGAAAATAGCTGGGTTGCGAGTTGAACTCTTCGAACATCCTGTGTACCTACATGTATACATATTTGACAACAACATTACGTAGATTAGCCAACTAACGGCATAGGTGTGACAAGGAAACCGATCATGACTTATGACTTAGGAGACACTATTGAAGCCCTTGTATTTTGCAAGTTTTTGGTTTATAGCAACTTAATAACCGACTTTAAAAAGAACTAATTAATTTGAATGTCTTCTTAATGTAAAACTATGATGAGTTAACCGATTCAAGTAATATTTTTATTCATACATGACAATTAAAATCTGATTATATTTTTCAAATAATGTGGAAATTATTGCCGGTGAAAGTTTAATATTTGTATATTGAATATTTATTAGTTGTGTCTAAAGCAATATATGTAGGTAAGCCTTGCCACCAACATCCGTGTAATCACTAGAAATATTTTACTTATTATTAAATTTATATATATATATATATATATATATATACATATATATATATATATATATATATATATATATATATATATATATATATATGTGTGTGTGTATCAGTATATATGTTGCAGCCAACTAGATTAATTATCCTTTCAGTTAACAGCCTAGACGTTACAGGGCATGGTCACCTTATTAATTTCATTCAACGAAACAGTCGCTGGTTTGTGCCTAATTATGCGCTATGTGCTATATTATATACATGTAGGCGGCTTTATGGTGGCCCAAGGGCCATCCCAGCCGCACCTAAACCTACTCTCGCTGTTACTACAAAATATGTGCAATGTTGTATTAGACGCATCGGCTGAATATCATTCAGGCCGCTAGTTAAACCTTTAGTAAAAAAGGCTAGACCATTAACTGAAAGGCTAATTAAGCTACTTGGCTACGACATATGTATTATCATATTGATGAATATTGATGATTAATTAACGAATAACGATTCGTTAAATGACTTGCCAATTATAAGTGTACCAAAGAATAACATTGACTGAGCTTGTTAAAGCAAACCTGATACTCAAATAATTTTAGTCAAAGTTGAATGTGAAAAAATAAATTTGTGACAATAAAACAATATTTAGTTACGGTCCATCAATCATATCAACTTGTATGAAGAAATGTATTAACTTTGACCAACATAATAATCTATTAGTAGGTTGTTCGTGCGTTGTGTTTATATTCTTAGGGAAATAGCATAGAGCAGTCCATAAAGAGCGAAATAAAATGTAAAAATGTTCAACACAAATAACTTTACTTCGCAGTAGTAAATGAGCAAAATTAAAAAAAAACTAAGATAGTTTGATTATTAAGAATTGAAGATTTGAAGCAAACACGTTTTTCTATTAGATTTTGAACATGTTAAAATATCAAATGGGCAATATTTCTAATGAGAAAGGATCTATGTGAAACAAGTCTATTATTATTTTAAACTATTTTTACTAAATTATTTATCATCAATGAGATGCTAGTTCCATAATACAGCCTTCGTCTATTTTTCGACTCTCCACAAATCTTAATTTCCTTATAATCCACCGGTAGCATTTCATTTGAATGGCAGTCGTTAGCTTCCGCTTCCATGCTGACGGCCAGACCGGGGTAACTCGAGGGTCCCGTGATAGTTCTGTTTTAATTTCACCCTAAATTAGTATTTATACTAACTAATTATGAATTTTAAAATTAGTGTCATGACAAATTCTTGTATGAGCAAATGTCCGCCTCCCCTCCATTTTTGACATTCCCTCCTACGCAAATTCTTAATGAACTTTTGTATTTATGGAATTTAGTTTTAGTTTTTCAGTACAATGAATCTATTAATAATTGTTCGAGTCATTAATAAGTGTATTAATGTGAAAAACAAGAGAGATTGCATTCCAAATTAGTTTTTTTGTGAAATAACTTTTTTTAATTTATGTCATACCACATTAAATTA